AAACCATTCCAGTCTTCTTTATTGTGTTACCTATTACGTTTTCATTCTTTATTCTATTTGAATCTATTGATCTTTAAGGAATATAATTCCAACAATTGGTATCAGAGCAGGATATTGTGTTACTCATACGCATTCCTTCTGTGTGAAGAATTCTTTTGGGTATCCTCTTTTGTTAAATATATTAAATTCGTCTTCTTCTTGTTGATGGTATTTCTAGTGGCTGATAAAACCCTAATCTCAAGTTTACAAGTCTGATTCTAGCAGATACAAGGGATAAGCTCATCATGTCACATGAAGATTCTCAAACCAATCCCATTAACATCTCAAACAACATTGGATCCACTACAAGGGTTCTTATTCTCTACACCCAAGACTACGAAGTATAGGTGCATCACTTTGAAGATTAGATTATTGGATCTGAAGATAATGGTTATCTCGTCTGGGAAGCTATCATGGTCGGTGCATTTTTTCATGCTGGAACAAACCGGACAGTGAAGACTCAAAAAGAGTCTAATCAGGTTTTGGTGGACGTAGATAAGATACCACAAGACGAAAAATATAAGTTGTTGTGTAATCTCAAAGCCTTGAGGGTGATCAGATTTGCTTTACAAGCCAATACTTTCCATCTGGTCAATTCATGCACTACCGCTAAAGAGATATGGCACAGGCTGAAAGAACTATATTCAACTGACGAGGATCTAGAGCATTTGATCCAAACCCTATTGCTCTCTGATTTTGGAGCATTTTCACAACAACCTGAAGAGACACTACTTCAGACGTTTGATCATTACAATCATCTGCTGAGAAAAATGATGAAGCATGGTATTGAAAGGAAGGAGATCAAATAGAAAGTAACATTCTTGAATGGTTTGAGAGCTGAGTGGATGGCACTGGTCTCAACAGTTAAGGCTCATGAACAATTTAAATCATACTCGCTAGGGAAACTGATGGGTATCCTAAAATCACATGAAAGCACAGTTACTAAAGAAGTGAAGGTTGTGTCAGGTGTAGGTTCCCTGGCTCTGCTTTCAAATAACAAAAATGTTTTTGAAGAACAAGAAGAAGAATATAACATGTCAGAATTTGATCTAACCAATGTGGAGTCGCATTAATGGGGTCAAACCCAAAGAAGTTTGCTCGAAAGAAGTTTCCAGCCAATAAGAACCGAAACTGGCAAGGAAGCTATAGTTATGAAAAGGTGAAGGAAGAGACAAAGAGCAATTCTCAAAAGGAAGATGAAAAGAAAGAAAACAAGCTTATAGGAGATTCAGGGTATGATTATAACTATTGTAATGGAAAGAACCACTTTCCCAAGGACTGTATGTTGAGAAAGATGGCTGAGAAAAGGGATGGTGAAGATGATGAAGCTTATTACATGCGAAAGTTGGATGAAATAAAGAAAAAGAAGGCAACTAATGTTTCAATGAATGCCCTGATTGTGCAGGAAGATGTGGATGAAGATGAGTTCAGTGGCGTTGAAGTCTGGTCAACCGATTCTGAGGATGAAGAAGTGAGAAAACCCTCACATGGAAGAGCATACGTGGCAAGAGAGGAGGCTACCAATTCGGCTGGGAAATGTCTAATGGTTATTGCTGGAAGATCATCAGAGATGAGTATAAGGAGCCAAACCTGACTGAGGATAAGTGTTTTGCATCCAAGCCCGTGAGTGAAAGGATCAGCGACTGCAACCGGTTGATAAAAAAGGTACAAATGATCCTTCAATCACTTAAAGATCCTGTTACTAATTATGAAGAAGAACTAAACAAACTAAAATTTAAATTTTCCAACTTAAGTGGTAGTCTCATACAAACTCGCCTAGGGAATTCTAACCTAATTGACCAACTCAACAGAGAATCTTCCCAGAGTGAGGAAAGGAGGGCATGGATACAGTTGAATGAGCAGGAGTTAGTTAGAACTAGGGATGAGATTATTTATTTACAATGAGACATCTTAAAGTTTTTGAAACAATGAAATGTTTTTGTTTGATTTCAAAACGCTTATATACCAATATAACTCAGCTACACTTAGATTGTGAAATAGGGAAATAGATTCATAAGGCGATTTTACCCTTCCTTGAATTTAAGGAGGATGAAGTCATTACTGAATGTGAATCATTAATGTCCTCAGATGAGATTTCGGTCACTTACAAATATGGACTAGACAAGATTGAGACCTTTATTGACTCCAAGGAGCACAAATGTATGCTTAAAAATCTTTTGGATGAAAATGATAGGTTTAAAATTAAGTCCGAGACCATACAAACATTTGACTCGTCAAATGCCAAATTATGTTCAGAACATAAAATAAATGTAGAAAACGCATCTGAATTTGATAAGGAAAGTGAGATGAGTGATATCTCAATGGATGATGTGGTTGATTGTTCTAAGTTTTTAAAGAGCGAAACCGAGACTCAAAAACCACTCATATCTGAAAACTCGGTTGAGTATGGTCGCTTATCTAATGACAAATCAAAGAAACTTAAAGAGAAAGCAATGGTCTATCAAAAGGTTCAAACGGTGCAAAATCAAGTGTACGCTGTTAAAGGTGTCACCGAAAAACAAACAACAGAATTCAAAATTTTGGTTGACACAGACAATGCTGAATGGTGCGACAATTACTTCTGGTCCGCCCCTATCGATAATGCAGACGAAACCATCGGCTTATCAGAGCGAACATCGTGGAGGGTAAGGGGAAGGTATGTTGCTGAACCCATCAACAAACCCTCAAGTTTTGATAAACCAAGCTCAAGTGGAACAAAAGAGATACCAGAAGAATCAAAGAAAGCATCCAATGTAACCACCAAGACAACCGAAACTCACAAGGAGAAGCCAAAGTGAAGCTTCAATATTCATAAATCTCAAAAGCAGTTGGCTGAACAGAAACGAGAGAGAAATCAGAGATACATGAATAATATGCATGAACGGAAACGATTTTGGCAGTCTCAAAACTCTAACTATGTTCCTTCCAAGAAAGAAACAAATGTCAAAGGAAATGACATGTCAAAGAACAACCGACAGTTCAGTTTCGGTCCAAACTCTTACTATTCTCGGAACCGAAAGCCCAGTCCCAGTCCCAATTTATCACAGAATCGAACGTCTAGTCTCGGTTCCAATCCCAAATCTGAGAACCGAGCATCTTTTTGTGTATAATGGTTAACGTGAATTACTTTGGTTCACACCATAACAACTTTCTATCATTTGAATTACATGTGATTCACATGTAAATCACATTTAATTCGCGTGTAATCAGATATGAATTATATGTGATCACATGTAAATCACATACAATTCACATGTAAATCACAAGTAAATCACATATGAATTACAAGTAATTCACATGTAAATCACAAGTGAATCACATATGAATTACAAATGAATCACATATGAATTACAAGTGAATCACATATGAGTTACATGAAAATGCATTAAAATTTAGTACATTTTTTATTTTTATATTTTATTTTGTATCGAATAAAATATTTGTACTATTATGGTTATTGATTAGTAAATCAAAAAGAGTATTTTTTTTTTTTTAGTTTTACTTACAAATATTATAGTATAAGAAATATGCATATATGCACTTGAAAAAAATATGCATATATATACCTAAAATATGGATTTTTTGGTTAAAAAATTATAGTCTTTTTCTGTTTAAATATTCAAGTTTTTATATTTATTTTTATTTTTTACTGATTTTTAAAAAAAATATGTATTTAAAACATTGCAGTTATTTAAAAAAAAAAGTCTATTTTTTTAAATTCATTTTTTCTGAAAAAAAAAAAATAAAAAAAAAGTATGTTATCTTTTAGACCGTTTTATTAATATTTTCAGTAACACAATAAATTTAACATTAAATGATATTGGTAAGATGATGATCATACCCTTAATGATTTAATTTTGATCTAACGTTTCACCTTTAGTTTTCGGGCTCTCTGGAAACTATGAGTTCTCAATACCAACAATAAATCTTCTCTAATAAATAAAGATCTTTTTGTCATATGTCATACTCTCATTCATTTTGTCATATGTAATTTTGTGGTAATTTTAAATTAATTTTTATTCCACATGTCATTTTATGATTTTTCCATTTTATTAAATTCCACATAATATTAAATGTACTAATAAATGCATATCAATAAACTTTCTTTATATTCAAAATTATCAAGTTAAAGTTTTATTAATTTCTTTTATTTTCTTATATAAATTATTTGTTTTTAAAAGATAAAAAACACTTATAATTTTTATAATTCAATATTTTTTTCAATTTTCTTATAAATTCAAACTACTTAAATGTTTAGAATTTTATATTTAATTTGTTTTAAATAAACTCATATAATACATTAGTCTCACCTAGTATTTTAAATAAACTCATATATTCGCATCTAGTTTACTTTGATATAATAATTGTATTTGTTAAACAAGTCCACGATGTACATTTTTACATACTTCGAAAACCGACAATCATAATCTCCAATTGTGAAATCGAATGATGGTTTATATATAATTAATAAAGAAATATTTTAAAAGGTCTAAATTAATTTTTGTTCCGGTAATTATTATTTCGAAGCAAGATTAATCATTCTATAAATAGATTTAATGAAACCATATCAGGCCCGACCCAAGATTTTTTAGAGTGACCGGCTGCACTGGACCTAAAATAATTATGACCCATTTAAAAGAATTAGCGGAATGATTAGCATAATTCGATTCCAGTTATGCCTTTTTTTATTAAAATTTTATCTTAATTAACTAATCTTTTTTTCTCCATTGAACATATAAATACATTAGGGCTGAAGTTTAGCATTTTTATCATTTTTTTTCCACAGGCCCCTACATTATTAGGGTCGGCTACGGACCATATTAAAGGTTAAAAGGATATCTGGGATAATGGGTGGCCGATGGCTCTTTGATTTTGGGAGAGTAATGGTAATACTTTTCAATTACCATTACAAAAACCACGTGAACATATGAGAATTTAGATACACCACGTAATTGACCGAACTAGATATCCTATATTATATATATTATAACAAAGTGACATGCATCTATCTTATATCTCTCCACATAAACCAAAAAACAACACTCACCATGGTTAAAGCAATTAGAGTTCATGAAAACGGTGGCCCAGAGGTCATCAATCACCTTCTTTACTTGTTTCTCTCATTTTTTGAAACGTGACTAATGGTGTTGATATCTTTTACAGGTGTTAAAATGGGAAGATGTTGAAGTCCGAGACCCAAAAGAGGGGGAAATCAGGTTAAAGCAGAAGGCAATTGGTCTAAACTACCTAGACGTGTATATGCGTGAAGGTCGATACAATTTATCTCCACCTTTGCCATATACTCCAGGTATGGAAGGAGCAGGTGTTGTAACCGCAGTCGGTGCCGGAGTAACCAGCTGCAAAGTTGGAGATGTTGTGGCTTACGCTAGCCCAGATGTGGGCTCTTACGCCCAAGAGAGAATACTTCCGGCAAGTTTAGCGGTGCATGTTCCTTCTTCTGTTGATGTCGTTGAAGCAGCTGCGGTCATCTTTAAGGGACTCACTGCACATTTATTGATCCATAAAGCCTTTAAGGTGACACAGATCTTAATTTATTAAGTCTCTAATGAATATATGATGCGGTTGTACGTAATAAAACAATGATTTCCATAGGTTGAACGTGGACATACAATCCTTTTACATGCTGCGGCAGGTGGAGTCGGATGTTTGGTTTCTCAATGGGCAAGTGCAATTGGAGCCACGGTCATTGGAACAGTGTCGACCAATGAGAAGGCTGTGCAGGCCAAAGAAGATGGTTGTCGCCATGTCATTCTTTACAAAGATGAGAACATTGTTGATCGTGTTATGGAGATAACATCCGGCAAAGGAGTTGATGTAGTCTACGACTCCGTCGGGAAAGACACGTTTAATGTAAGAAATTAATACAGTATCTTGCTTAAAGAAACGACGACAATTTGACAACCCTGTGTGTTTTAAAATGAAGGAATCACTATCTTGCTTAAAGAAACGTGGATACATGGTGATCTTCGGGATGGCATCAGGTGAACCAGACCCGATACGTGTTGTTCAAATGGCATCGAAATCCATTTACTATATGTTTTCATCACTCAGGAATGAAGATGATCAAGAGTGGCTGCATGTAGCTGCTGATGAGTTGTTTTCTAAAATTGCAAAAGGAATGTTGAGGGTTCGTGTTAATCATAAGTATCCTCTGTCTCATGCAAGCGTAGCTCATACTGCTATGGAGAGTCGAAAAACAACGGGGTCGGTTGTTTTGATCCCAGACGAGGAGTGATGTCATGTTTTATGCCTACGCATCTTTCTTGTTTCAATTCCGTCCCAATAAATAATAATTTTCTTATTTTTGTTAAACTTGAAAACCTCCCTTTTGGAGCAGTGTTAAAGTGGATACAGTACGTGTACGTGATAATAAAAGTATGCTGTGTTTCTTTGAATTGTATTTGATTTTACTAAATATGTAAGTGGGACTGGTAGGGATAACATGTAAGATCATTTGGAACGTATGTCTGAAAGTCATTCTTTACCACAACTTTCAGAAAATGGTTTCTAAATTACACGGTAAAAAACTCACCATCTAACAACGATTACCTTGTACTGTATAAAGATAAAAACTTGATATAATGCAAAAGATAAAAAATATCGACTAAAACTCTCTCTATATTACGTTATTACAACTAATGAATACAAACACAAACTGTGTATCAATAATGAAATAAAAAAAAATAGAAAATATTGAGATAACAAAACCCTTGCGCTGATGTAAATAAATTTATATTCTATTTAATTTATAGGAATTATTTTTGACTTTGCCCCTCAGAGTCTCCCTACATCTTCAAGAATTCTCTTTTGACAATGGAGTCACTCAAGTTTAAAGCAACAAAGTTTTCATTTTTAGAGAATCTGGTTATAGATTTAGTCCCTACGGTAAACATAATAATTTTGAACCACATATAAATTGTATTTAAGAAGTTAAGGTTAAGGGTGTTGCTATTAAGCCATCTTTTAAACCTCTTATAGGGATTTTTATCAAAAATCAACCTATAGGTAACCTTTTTTAATCATCTTTTTCCAAAAAATAATACAATTTTAATCAATAAAAATACTTTTAAAATTATAATGGAGTGTCCATTTAGCCAATCCCTAAGATTAAAGTCTAATTTTTTTTATCTTTTAATATTCTCCCTCAACCTAAAAGAAAGCATTATATATATATATATATATATATATATATATATATATATATATATATATATATATATATATATATATATATATATATATATATATATATATATATATATTGAAGAACCCAATTAATGGTTTGGTCTAAGCTTTGCATTGTAATAGTAGTTTTGTGTTGATAGAGTATTTTGGTAGGTTTACTGGATGTTTACGGGTCTCTAATGAGTTCACGACCGTAAACACCTTACGGCCGTAAACTCTGTTTCGGTCGTGGTTCCATATATATAGAGGGTTAGTCAGTCGTGTTTTAGTTGTTGATGCCTAGTAGTTCACGGTCGTATATCGAGTTGTATCAGACGTTTTTAGTAATAGAACGTGTGCAAGATCGATTTCTTTTCTTTTCTACGCTTATTCTATTTTCTGTGATTGTGTTTGTTGTTGATCACTGGTTAAATCCATTCCCAAGACCTTACAATTGGTATCAGAGCATAACCAGCATCAAAGGCACTCTACAATTAATCTTGGAGCGAGTTTTCATCTGTTTGCGACTAAAGTTGGTGATTTCTGCAAAAGGGTTTTCAGTTTCGTCGAAAATATGCAAGTTTAACAGCTTACGGCCTTAGCTTACAGCCGTAATCTCAGTTTACGGCCGCGAACTCGTCAAAGTTCTTGCACCGTAAATTGTATTTTTGAGCCGTGAATAAGGAATATTCATAGACCGGAAACTTATTGTTCTTGGACCGTGAATTTAGAATGTGAACGCTTTTTGACCGTAATCTCGGAGTCACGGCAATAAAGAGTATTTTGACTGTGTTTGACCAGAAGATTAATTTAATCATAAATAATTTAGTTTATGTCTCATATTAATTAAATAAAAATAATGGATTCTCAAGGTCAAACAAACCATCACGAGTTGGATTCATTTATGGGCACAAACACCCGAATTCCTAGACTTTTATCCGCTGAAGGCTTCCTAGAATGGAAGTATAGAATTGAGCAGTACATAAAAATGAAGGACTTCAAAATATGGAGAAGCATAATCAAAGATCCATTCAGAATAACCACTACAGTTGCAGGGCAAGTGGTTGACAAGAAGATGGAAAACTACACTGATGAAGACTTCGAGAAAGTTGAAGAGCAAGAGAAGGCTTTGGCCACCTTGACCATGGCACTGTCTCCAGACATTGATCAAGGTTTCAGGGAGTATACTGCTGCTAAGGCCTTGTGGGAAGCCCTAATTGAGGTCTACGAAGGGAACGAAGATATGAGGGAGAGTCGCCAAGATATGTTGCGACAACATTTCAATATGTTCAACTATGTTCCTGGAGAGACTCTTGAGGCACAGCTGTAGCGGTTCAGACCTCTTAACACTGAAATGACTGTAGCCGGGATTTTCTACACAAAGTCGGAGATAAGCAAGAAGATACTGAATGCTCTCCTAAAGTCTTGGGACATGAATGTAGTTGTCATCAAGAAGACCAAGGATCTTAGCCGTCTCTCTCTTGCTGAAGTTATGGCTGTCATCAAGGCCTGTGATATTGATGAGAAACAACGAGATATCAACCATGTGAACTTATACTCAGCTGCGAACCTTGGAATCTCTACTAACAATGCTCTTTCATCTTTTTCCTTTCCTTTTGCAGGTCAATCATTTGCTACTCAGCAAGCTCAAATTCAGACTTTTTCCACACCATCAGCTTCCTCTGCATCAGCCATGCCTTTCTCACAGAACCAATCGTTCGTGGCTACTCAAGCTACTTCATCCTCAAATGTGGCTTCTTCTTCAAGAGGAAAGGAGGGTGATGAAAATCTCGCGCTTGCTATAGGGCTTGTAAATTGCTACAATGCACTCGTAGCCGGGGATCTTCCACCCCAACTATCATTTGCCGATCTTGATCAGATTCACCCTGAAGATAGGGGTGTCAATTTATGACACGACACGACAAAAATACACGACACGAAACGAAATCAAAATTCGAATTCAAATTCGTTTTCGTGTCCTGTTCGTGTTCGTGTCAAGTATAAAAAACACGATGTCGTGTCGTGTCGTGTTCGTGTTTACAAATTCACACAAAATTGACACGATTGAGCATGTGTTTGTCGTGTTTTTCATGTTTGTCGTTTTTATCGTGTTATATATGATTAAATATGAATTAAATAAAATAATAATTATGTAATACTATCTTTTCCGTGTCGTGTCGTGTTGTCGTTTTTTAATTGATTCGTTTTCGTGTTGGTGAAAAAAACACGACATCGTGTCGTGTCGTGTTCGTGTTACGAAAAACATTGTCGTGTCGTGTCGTGTCAGACAAAAACACGACACGATGGCCCGATTTGACAGGCCTACCTAAAGACGTTGAAAAGATGGATATTACATGCCAAATTGCCATGACAGTTTTTAGGGGGAAACAATTTTCCAAAAAGACTGGAAAGAAAAACCGGGGGATGAGTGCTAACAAGAAAGTTGGGTTTAGCAAGGGAAAGTTGTGATGTTTCAACTGCCACGAGCCAGGGCATTTTGCTCATGATTGCCCACAACCAGACAGAAGATTAAATAATGATAGGACAATAGTTGTAGTTGGGAACAATCAAAGCGATGCTCAAGTAAACAGCAAGAAGGCTATGATTTCACAATCGTTCGACTGGGAAGATCATATGCAGGCCCTGAACTTATCTGGACCTGAAAATGCCCACCTGGCACAGGTCAGTGATGATGCTCCGGCAGAGATTGTTACAGCTGAAGATAAAATGATGGAGCTGCAGTTTGCATTGATGGTATCTTCTTCTCATGAACCTAATACAATCGAGGTAAGTCTACCCTCGTGTTCTCAAGCCTGTATTGATTATGTTAAAATTATGCATGAGAAAATGGAGACATTAGGTAGTGAAGTAGAAAACCTTCAAATTCTCCGTGAACTTAACGACTCACTAAAAAGGGAAGTAGAAGACCTTAGATATGAAGGTTATCAACTCAGAAAACGTCAAAAACCTCTTAAAGCCCAGTTAGAATCGAAAATAAAGGACTTTAGGAGACTTCAGGAAGACTACAGTAATAAATGCAAAAATTATGACTGTATAATGAAACAGAATACTGAACTAGTGGCTGAAATTGATTCATTAAAGGGCAAATTTGAAACTGCTGATTTTGACTTTAGAAAATATGATGTATCGAGTGAGGTAGTTGTCAATATGATAGACCAATGCATCTAATTTAAACGTAATCAATTAAAGGTTCTAGGTTATAATCACGTGCCTCCTCCTTTCAATCATTCATATCAGCTTAATCCCCTGTCCAAAGAAGAGATTGCCAATGAACCATTCATGGTTTATGGCAAGCCATCTGGTTTGTTTCGGGAGGATTTATTAATGTTGAAAGTACTAATATTTCTACTTCGCCTGCAGATCAATCCTTGAATCAGTCAAAGCACGAAGTTGAAGGATCTGTTTCTGAAAATAAAACCAAGTCTAAACCTGAAGTTTTAGTTTTGAATAAAGATGATATTTTTTCTGATGTTTCAAATGACAATGTTTTTTATGGTGGTGTTTTTATTACTTCTGATACTATTTTGAATGGTTTGAAAGTGTCTAGTTTGAAAAATTTGGTTGATAATTCTGATGTGTGTGATAATAATTTTGAAGAACCACCAGTTTCACAAACCTCTCCATATGATGTACCCTCACTTGCCTCACAACCTAATTCTTGTTCATGTTCTTGTGAGAGAAGCATGGGTGTTAGTATAGAAAACAAATTTGATCAATGTAGCACAAGTTATAACAATAATAAACAAATTTGTTTCAATTGTGGTGTTGGTGGTCATATAGCTAGAAATTGTCAAAATCGTATGTTTGTACATTTCGAATTTCCAAGAGGAGAGAACGAATTCAGAGGAAGGTATTTAACTAGAAAGGCCTCTAGAAATCGCTCTCGGTATGATGATTAGATAAATGATCAGAGTAGAAAAAGGGTTTTTATGTCAAAAACATAAAAGGGTTTTCTATAACAAAGTCCCAAACAGTTTGCCAAAACCGAGCACGGCCAAGCCAAGGTCAGTTTCGTCAAGAAACAACAGTGGGTCTTCAACTAATCCTAGTAGAAAACCCAAATGCTCCAAGAAAACTGATAAACATTCGATTTCTAAACCACATGGGACTGTTATAAAACCTAATTATCAATGGTTGCCCAAATTAGTTTCCAATTCATCATATGTGTACTCTGAAAAATCCAAAAATAATAAATCTGA